TCCAGCAGGACAATGACCCAAAACACACAGCCAAGGCAACAAAGGAGCGGCTCAAGAAGAAGCCCATTAAGGTTCTGGAGTGGCCTAGCCAATCTCCACACCTTAATCCATTTGAAAATCTGTGGAGGGAGCTTAAAGTTCGAGTTGCCAAACGTCATCCACCAAACCTTAATGACTTGGAGAGGATCTGCCAAGAGGAGTGGGCCAAAATCTCTGAGATGTGTGCGAACCTGGGGGCCAACTCCAGGAAACGTCTGACTTCTGTGATTGCCAACAAGGGATTTGCCACCAAGTACTAAGTCATGTTTTGTGAAGGGAATCAAATCCTTCTTTCCCTCATGAACATGCAGATCAGTCATCGTTTGTTAGATGCATTTCTGCTGAATTTGTTGTTGTATTCTGTCTCTCAGTGTTACACCGAACATTCCATTGTTAGACCGATCATTTCTGTGTGAGGGGCGAACATTCAACATCAGCAGGGGTGCAAATACGCATTTCCTTCAGTGTGTGTGTGTTTTACGTTCAATAAGTTATTTTACGTTACTGGATTGTATTTTTAAAATTCATTTAAATTTATGATATTATTTAAATAGTCAAATATAATACAATTCTATATAAAAAAATATATATATTTTGTAAAAAAAAATGTCAGTTTTCGGTTCTCAGCCAAGTGCACATCTAATTTTCAAATGCAACCTTTTTCATTACATACCTTTTTATAGACCCAGTAATGTCATCGCTGGATCTCTGTGCTTCTCTATGCAATGCAAGTAGATACTGGCTGGTGGGAGGGGCCTTGCACAACTGTGCAAGACCGAAGGGAAGACCAGAGGGAGGACATAAATAGGTTTTTTTTTTTTTTTTTTTTTTTTTCTGCGTTTTCTCCACCCTTGTTCTATAGAATAATGAACAATAATCGATGAGCAGGTAACATTTTATTGTAACATTCCTCCTCTGCAGATGTAATACAAATACATTTTTTTTTTTCACATGCAAATCACAATGAAAAATCTCCCCCGGTTAATGTAACCTTCTGTATAGAAAATAGGATTCTCTCTTTTCAGGTTTGTAGAAAATCACCAGGAATGGGAAAATGCCCGTTTTTTTTGTCAGGAACATTCACACATGTGAATCCCCAAAATCTGACGTTGGTTGGCGGCAGGGGCGGACTGACAACTCATGGGTCCCCCGGGCAATAGGGGATCATGGGGCGCCTGTGTCCTTGCCCAAACCCAAAAAAGCCTATGAAAAAGGTACCAGGGGCATCTCATGGGGCCCCCTACTGACATCGGGCCCTCGAGCAGTGCCCAAGTGTCCAAATTAACAGTCCACCCTTGCTAGAGAATGAGAATGCCTACGGCGCGTTCACGTGTACGATGCTCTCCACGTGTGGCGAGGATGCCTACGGCTACGTTGCGTTCACGTGTGCGATGCTCTCCGCGCGTGCGGAGAGGACGCCTACGGTGCGTTCACGTGTGCGATGCTCTCTGCATGCAGTGAGGACGCCTACGGTGCGTTCATGTGTACGATGCTTTCTGCATGTGGTAAGGATGCCTACGGCGCGTTCGCGTGCGGTGAGGACACGGCGCGTGTGCGATGCTCTCCGCGTGCGGTGAAGACGCCTACGGCGCGTTCACGTGTGCGATGCTCTCTGCGTGCGGTGAGGACGCCTACGGCGTGTTCACGTGTGCGATGCTCTCTGCGTGTGGTGAGGACGCCTACGGCGCGTTCACGTGTGCGATGCTCTCCGCGTGCGGTGAGGACGCCTACGGCGCGTTCACGCGTGCGATGCTGTCCACATTCATGGCGCTTTTCAGAGTACATTTGGCAGGTGCTGAGAATGGTACTTCTTGAACATGTGATTTCCCTGCGGTTCCTGCAAGCGCGTTTCCAGCTGAGATGCGTAGGGGGCGCCACTAAGAATGGATAGCCGCCCTGTGCGTCTCAACAGAGCAGCGCAATTCAGCTGCAGATGGTTACAGGTGTGATTCCCGGATCTGACACCACCCGGCACGGTGCGGGCAAGTGTGAACCTAGGCTAAGGGGGAACCCTGCTCACAGCCAGTCTTGACTGGGGAATCGTCCCCTCCCTGAGCCAAGTACTGAATTCCTCATCGATCGTTTATGGCAAGGGGTAGGCAACCTGTGGCTCTCTAGCTGTTGTGGAACTACATTTCCCATGAGGCATTGCAACATTACAAAACTGACAGTTACAGCTATGACTTGAGCTCCCTCGTCTCCACCTCCCATGCTCGTCTCCAGGACTTCTCCAGAGCTTCCCCTATCCTCTGGAACTCTCTACCCCAATCTATCAGACTATCGCCTACTCTGCTCACTTTTAGGCGATCTCTGAAAACCGATCTCTTCAGGGAAGCCTATCCTGCCCTCGGCTAATATACTGGAATCTTCTATTCCTCCTACCAGTCCATTCCCCCACAGTTACTACCTTTGGTACCACTAGCCCCTCCCTCCTAGATTGTAAGCTCCCAGGATCAGGGCCCTCCTATCCCTCTTGTATTGAACTGTATTGTTGCTGTATTGTCTCCCGTTATACTGTAAAGTGCTGAGCAAACTGTTGGTGCCATAAATCCTGTATAATAATAATGACTGGCAGAGGCATGATGGAACTTGTAGTCCTGCGGCTCTCAGGTTGCCTACCCCTGGAATCTGGCTGCATACTTGTTCAGCGACTTGAAGCCAGAGGCAGCCAGGCAAAAAAAAACATTTCCCAAAGGCGGTCGGCAATGGCAGTGGTATTCCTTTTCAGCGTGAGCGGTCTTTACCGACCGCGGTAAATCTGTCCGGCTTCTGTGAGGGTGACAACACTTTCCCTGTTAAAGCACATATGGGTTGTCAGGTTCCCATACCAGTAAGACTTGGCTGCCCTCCGTGGAATGTTCTGTAAATACCTATTGATCCTGCCAGTAAGACCATGGCGTAGGCACTTCGTTCGGTAGGGTGACAACAGTTTTTCCTTCCCAAGTGGAATTGGTGCGGCGTTGTCACCCTTGCTGCTGTGGCTGCAAGCAATGTCCAGAGCCCTATTGGTGAACAGCCATGTCTAGCTCCGCCTACAGGCCTTTCAATTGGCAGCACATTGTACCATGTGTGGGAGCTTATGAGGTAAAGGCCCTGCTCAGCCCCTCTCACCCTCCAGCATGAGGGAGAGATGTAGCTCCGTGACAGATTTGGACCATTGCCAGGCTTTAGATGGACTACAGCAGTGCCCTGTGGATTGGACGATGAAGGAACAGCAATGTACTAATAGGTCATTATTTGCACTCACTATGCTCTCTCCTCCTGTCAGCGCGTAGGAACTGCAGCTGTACCTGACTGACTGCCAACGCTTTAGATGGACTACAGCAGTGCCCTGTGGATTGGATGATGAAGGAACAGCAAATGTACTAATAGGAGGAGAGAGCGTAGTGAGTGCAAATAATGACCTGTCGGCGCGTAGGCACTGCAGCTGTAACTGACTGACTGCCAACGCTTTAGATGGACTACAGTAGTGCCCTGTGGATTGGATGATGAAGGAACAGCAATGAACTAATAGGTCATTATTTGCACTCACTATGCTCTCTCCCTCCTGTCAGCGCGTAGGCACTGCAGCTGTAACTGACTGACTGCCAACGCTTTAGATGGACTACAGTAGTGCCCTGTGGATTGGACGATGAAGGAACAGCATAGGTCATTATTTGCACTCACTATGCTCTCTCCTCCTGTCAGTGCGTACGCACTGCAGCTGTACCTGATTGCTAGCGCTGCCCCCCAGTGTGCTGCTGTGCCATGACAAGGGGTTGATACAAAGACACATCCAGGTACTTATACTAGCTGTATGTAGAAATACATTTAATTATTTTCAATTCATACACAAATGCATCACATTTTTGTTAGGTTAGAGGGGGAAAGACCCCTTTAAAAAAAAGGAACCTCAGACATATTTCGGACCACCTTAGTATCCTTTCATACTGGCTCCCCTAGTCAAACTAAAAACCATGTTAAATTTGAACCCGCATGGGAAAATACTCCTTTTATGCCAATTGGTGGCTGTGGGCAGCAGACAGTCCTTTATGTAGATGCTGTGATAAACAGAGCCCACATAGAGGTCCCATGGTCTGACCCCCTTCTAAACAACAATCCCCCCCCCCCCCCCCCCACCTATGTACATTCTATAGGTGTACCAAGTCTGTCTGTTCACATATAATAGAGCTCACGGAGTGCCATGTGTTAAAACAGAGGAGTAGAGGTGCCGGAGTTCCCCTGTAGGGGGAGCCACACGTGAGATGGCAGCTGCAGGTCCTGGTGAAATGGAACACGTGGAAGACGTTCTCTCCACATGAATACATGGAGAGCTGGGTGAGAGGTGTTTGTATTGATGTCAACACAATCCAGTAATGGGGGGCTTCTACGGTCACACCTGGGACAATCCAATCCTCGAAAAATCCTGATCGTTACCTGACCTATCTAGAGGTCAGGAATGTCCCACGGGAACTGCGAATTGCAGATGGTGGAAACGTTGTCTTGGACTGAAATGGATTGTGTTGCTGTAATTCTATCCCTGCTGGAAATTTCGCATACCGCACTGCGGCCCCCGTGTCCTCCATACCCAACAAGAGGTCCATTTCCCATAACCATTCCTGAAATGTGATATGTCCTTCAAGAAATGTCTGTGCTTTTGTTAATGTGGTTTGTTGACCCTTTTGTGCATTCTCGGAGCGTCTCTTGCCCATTGTTCATCCGCTAGATCAAATTATTGGAAGAGTCGCACTTGAAGATTTTTAGACAAGCTTTGGGAAGATTGGGAAAACTGAAATAGGCTATAGGGACCTGGTGTACAAGCAATAATAGTTTGAGGTTTTCCATGCCCTCACCCCAGGCAAATTGCACCACTGTAAATGCCAGGTTTAGAGGCTGGCCCACCGGACATGCAATGCTTCCTCAAATGCCACCGGCAAGTGTGAGACAAACTCCTTTTTTAGAATAGCCCACCATGCATGGTTTTACGTCTGAACAATTGGAATATCTGAAAAGACCGAGCTTGCGGAATCGGAATCCGTTCGCAGCTGCAGAATCTTTGGGTGCTTCTCCACGCGTCCTTCTTTTATCGGCTCAAGGAAGACCACGTGTCGACTGGCTCCAGCTTTGCGGCTGTTGGGTCCTTCGGTGGCTGGAGGGGTCCCACAAAGGATGGAGGACTGGGCGCTGCTCTCCTGCGGAGGACTTGGAGTCTGCGGAGGCTTTAAGCAGCAACGGAAACAGCGACAGGGAGTCATGTAGAGATAGATGAAAACCAAGACAAGGCTAACGACGCAACCCAAGAGGGTGGTGAGACCAGTGTTGAAGGACTCTTCAGGCTTGGGAAAATGCACAGTAATATTTACCTCATGGGTCGCATTATAACTAAGTCTTCTGTTAACTGCAATGCACAGGTAGACTCCTGAATTCCACGGCTGAGCCTTGTGAATTTCCAAAGTGCCGTTGGGATGTATCTTAAAGCTTTGGTTACTGTTCCCCGGAGGAAAAATAAAGTCGTAGGCTGGCGAAATCCATAAGAAGGTTGTGTTTTCCTGTGGCAAGCTGGTATTACAAGTCACCATGAGTCGTTTCCCAACAAGAACTTTGAGTCCCGGGTCGGGAATGTGTTGCCCTAGCCCCACAGAGCAATTATCAAACCCACTCTGAGACTTCAAGATCCGAACGACCGCTCGTCGCTTTCCCATGTAGAGACAGGTGTGTTCCTGGGAGAATTCCAGTACAGAAGAGAAGCCGCGGTGCTCCCAGTGGCTGAGCAGCATGAACAGGGCGCAGTTACAAGTTAGCGGATTATTGTGCAAGTACAACCCATTCTTGATGAAGGCAGGAAGTGAGGAAACCTCCTCCACCGGCAACTCTGCAAACTTGTTGGAGGACAGATCTAGGGTACGGAGATGGGGGTTTGTCAGATTCTGCATGGAACTGAATGCGAAGCTGGTCAGGTTATTCCAACTCAAGTAGATTTTACGGATGTTGGCCAGGCGGTTGAAGGCCATCTCCTCCACATAGGTGATGAAGTTGTTGTATAAAAGAAGTTCCTCCAGTCTAAAGAGTGTCTGGAAAAATTCCATCTGCACAGTCTGGAGATGGTTTGAGGACAGGTCTAGGTGTCTCAGCTCGGTGGCGTTGCGAAAGGCACCGACTGACAGAGATTTTAATCGATTGTGGCTAAGTCGCAGAATGTGCAGATGTGGGATGTTGGCCAACCAGTCGTCACGAAGAGATGCGATGGAGTTATGGCTCAGGTCCATACTGGCAGATGTGGCTGGCAGATTTTCCGGCACATTGGTCAGGCTAACTTTTGTACAGCTTAGTAGGTCAGAGGCACAGATGCATTTGGATGGGCATCCAGAAGTAAATGTCAGTCTTGATAAAATGTGCATCGCTAGGAAGACCACCAGGCTTCGTATGCATTCCCCCCAGTGGTGACCAGTTCTCATGTTGTCTGATCAGTCGCCTTACCTCCGCTCAACAGATTCTAATTTTGTCACAGTGAGCAGATGTGGACTGTCGGTCTGCTAATCATGGTTACATACGACTCTGATAATCCAGAATGATGTTAGGGTTCCTGGGACAGAGCAGGACAGATGATCAGATGAAGAATTTATAAAGCTGCGAACATCTTCTCTCGCTCTTGGTGAACATGAACTTCTCAGACAAGGACAGCGACTTGGGCACACAGAGTCATCTTCTCCTTGATCAATACCTTGTGGTGAGTGGTGGCCTTTCTTTTCACATGTAGAATAGAAGAGTCCCTTATCTGTTCTGATGAGGCTGCCGGTGAATAGACTTTGTAGAGAGTTGAATCAATGCCGGAGTCCTCTTACAGTTGCTGATTGAAGCTGTCTGTACTGGAAGCACTTCTGACTCTCTCCCTCCCTCCTGATGTCTCATTGTCTTCTCCGTCATTGGCTGTCCAGTGCTCGCTCGTCCCTCCCCGAATAATATTCTCAATGGCTCTCCAGCTACTTCATGAAACACTTGGAGGGGGCTGAGACACCCAGCTCCAATCGTACAAAATGACAGTGTGCGAAAACCATCCGCGAGGGGCCACTGAGCAGATGTGGGGGCCCCTGGGGTCATGCAACGACCATCTCAATAGTTATTAGAGAAAGAGCTGAGCTGACCTGATGATGAGAGCGATTACCACATAATGGACATATCTACTTCCCACCAATTAGCAGCTGCACTTGTGCGTGTTGGGTAATGGGAAAGGGAATGACGTTACCGTTGAAACTTTTATTGCTGCAATTGCATTTGTAATAAAGAATATTAGTCTGGGCAAAGATATTTTAGGGCTCCCTTTTCACTCACTTTTATTAAACAATCATCCTACCTCTGCTTATGTGTGTGGAGGACGGTGGGATGAAATCTCGGAGGGGACTGCTGATTCTGATTTAGTTTTCAAAGTGAGAAGGTGAAAGGCTTAAACTTTCAGTGAGGGTGCTAAGATCCCTGTTGTGAAGAACCAATGGTTCTGGATGTATAGACAAGAGGAGAAGGTTAATGATTTACTAGAGGAGTCAGGTGATATGGATTTGGCTTTGATTTTGGAAGAGTTGAGGTACAGGAACAGGTTAAGGATGTTCTAGAGCAGGGGCGTCAAACTGGTGGCCCTCCAGCTGTTGCAAAACTACTACTACTACTGCTGTGGATTCAGTATGGTGGTATCCTCCACACCTCACTGAACTTGTGGAGGTACTGCATCCACTTTCCTGGATTCTCTGTATATTTCTAGAGTCCCCTAGAGAGCGCCAAGTATTGGATTCTGGTACCTCTGCTCCTTCTAGCTCAGGGGCGTCAAACTGGTGGCCCTCCAGCTGTTGCAAAACTACTACTACTACTGCTGTGGATTCAGTATGGTGGTATCTCCTTCACCCTCACTGAACTTGTGGAGGTACTGCATCCACTTTCCTGGACTCTGTATATTTCTAGAGTCCCCTAGAGAGCGCCAAGTATTGGATTCTGGTACCTCTGCTCCCTCTAGCTCAGGGGTGTCAAACTGGTGGCCCTCCAGCTGTTGCAAAACTACTACTGCTGTGGATTCCATATGGTGGTCTCCTTCATCCCTCACTGAACTTGTGGGGCTACTGCATCCACTTTCCTGGACTCTGTATATTTCTAGAGTCCCCTAGAGAGCGCCAAGTATTGGATTCTGGTACCTCTGCTCCCTCTAGCTGAGGGGTGTCAAACTGGTGGCCCTCCAGCTGTTGCAAAACTACTACTGCTGTGGATTCCATATGGTGGTCTCCTTCATCCCTCACTGAACTTGTGGGGCTACTGCATCCACTTTCCTGGACTCTGTATATTTCTAGAGTCCCCTAAAGAGCGCCAAGTATTGGATTCTGGTGCCTCTGTTCCCTCTAGCTCAGGGGTGTCAAACTGGTGGCCCTCCAGCTCTTGCAAAACTACTACTGCTGTGGATTCCATATGGTGGTCTCCATCATCCTTTCTGAACTTGTGGAGCTACTGCATCCACTTTCCTGGATTCTCTGTATATTTCTAGAGTCCCCTAGAGAGCGCCAAGTATTGGATTCTGGTACCTCTGTTCCCCCTCTAGCTCAGGGGTGTCAAACTGGTGGTCCTCCAGCTGGTGCAAAGGTCCCATCATGTCTCTGCCTTTGGGAGTCATGCTTGTAACTGTCAATCTTGCAATGCCTCATGGGACTTGTAGTTTGGCAACAGCTGGAGGGCCGCCAGTTTGAAACCCGTGTTCTACAGTCTGTATCTACTTCCTCCTTCCTTAGTTACTCATACAATTTTGAGCAGGACAGCAGAAAAGATGCAGCACCGGGTCTGTTGGCAGCAAAGGATGCAGGAAAGAGTTACTTAAACCATCAAAGTGCTAGAAGGGTTACAGATGGAGTGAAAAAGAAAGTGGTGATGTATTACGGGAGGAGCAGAGGCATGGAAATGGTGATTGGATCCATGAAAGGCAAACAGACCGAGCAGAGGCATGGAAATACGTATGTGGGTGGAGCTCAGGTTTAAGTAATGGAGGTACAGGCAAGGGTTAAAGATGCCCTACAGGAAAGACTTCGAATGAGGATGTAGGAAAGAGACTGAGGGAGTGCAGAAAATGGTGGTTATGGATAGATTGAGGGTGCAAGAAAACGTTACAGATGTGCTGGGGGGAGAGTGTGCAGAGAATGGTTAAGGGTGAAATGGGGGTGCAGGAAAAGGTTACAAATTAGGTGGGGGGTGTGGGAGTTACGGATGGAGAGGAAGTGCGGGAAAGGATATTGGAGTGGAGCTGGCAGAAAGAGTTATGGATGAAGAGGAGACGGGGTGCAAGTGAAGGTTAAGGATGGAGCTAGGAACCTGTGCAGGAAAGGGTTAGGGGCAAAGCAGGGGGTGCAGCAAAAGGGTTATAGATGAAGTAGGGAGCCTGTGCAGGAAAGGGTTAGGGGTGGGTGCAGAAAGGGTTAGGGGCAAGGGGGGTGCAGCAAAGGGTTATAGATGAAGTAGGGAACCTGTGCAGGAAAGGGTTACAGACTGAGGGGTTGTTGGTGCAGGAAAGGGTTAGGGGTGAAGCAGGGGGTGCAGCAAAGGGTTATAGATGAAGTAGGGAACCTGTCCAGGAAAGGGTTACAGACTGAGGGGCTGTGGGTGCAGGAAAGGGTTAGGAATGGAACATTGTGTGGGAAAAGGTTATTGGTGCAGCGGGGGTGTGGGAAAGGGGTACAGATAAGGTAGGAAGCCTGTGTATGAATGGAGCGAGAAGCTTGTGCAGGAAAAGGTTACAGTTGGCGGTGGGGAGTAAAGAAAATTAGTTAAGGATGGAGGGGCGGGTGGCAGAAAGGGTTATCAGTGGAGAGGGGGTGGAAAAATTTTACAGTTGAAGGTGGGGAGTGCAGAAAAACATGGATGGAGAAGGCTGTTGGAAAGGGTTACAGATGGAGAGGTTGTGGGAAAAGGTTACAGGTAGAGGAAATGGGAGGGTGGAGAAAGGTATGGATGAAATATGGAGGCTGTGCAGGAATAGGTTACGGATGGAGGGAAGTGTTGGAAAGGATTATGGGTGGAGCATAGGGTTAAGAAACAGCTATGGATGGAGAAGGGAGAAAAAGATCATAGATGATGGGGGGGGGGGGGGTTTGAGGGAAAGCGTTACGGATGTAGGGAAAGGATTATTGCTGGAGTAGTGCGCCTGTGCAGGAGTGGGTTACTTATGGAGTAGGATTTTGAAAAGGGTTATGGATGGAGAGGTGTAGGGGAGAGGATTAAGGATGGAGTAGAGATTCTGTACAGGAAAGGGTTACGGGGTGGAAGGGGATATATGAAAGGGTTATGGGTGGAGGTGGGTGTAGGAAATGGTTATAGATGGAGGGCTGTGTGGTAAAGGATTTTGGATGGAGGGGGTCTGGCAAAGTATTTTTGATGCATGGGGGTGTGGGAAAGTGTTATGGATGCAGAGGGGTGTGCGCAAGGATTTTGGATGGAGGGATGTGTGGGGAAAGGATTTTGGTTGGAGAGGGGTGTGTGGGGAAAGGATTTTGGATGGAGGGGGTGTGTGGGGAAAGGATTTTGGATGGAGGGGGGTGTGTGGGGAAAGGATTTTGGATGGAGGGGGGTGTGTGGGGAAAGGATTTTGGATGGAGGGGGGTATGGGGAAAGGATTTTAGATGACAAGGGAAGGGTTCTGTGCAGGAAAGGGTTACGGGGTAGAAGGATGAAAGGGTTATGGATAGAGGGGGGGTGGAAAAGGGTTATGGATGGATGGACGGGGGGGGGGGGGTTGGTGGGAAAGTGTTATGGATGGACAGGGGGGGGTTGGGAAAGGGTTATGGATGGACGGGGGGGGTTGGGAAAGGGTTATGGATGGACGGGGGGGTTGGGAAAGGGTTATGGATGGAGAGGGGGGGGAGGTGGGAAAGGGTTATGGATGTAGAGTTATGGGGGGGGGGGGGGTGGGAAAGGGTTATGGATGTGGAGGGGGGGGGGGGTGGGAAAGGGTTATGGGTGGAGGGGGGGGGGGGGGGGGTGGGAAAGGGTTATGGGTGGAGGGGGGGGTGGGAAAGGGTTATGGATGAAGAGGGGTGTGGGAAAGGATTTTGGATGGCGGGGGGGAGGTGCGTGAAAGTATTTTGGATGGTGGAGGGAGGTGCGGAAAAGGATTTTGGATGGAGAGGGGGGGTGTGGGAAAGGGTTATGGATGGAGAGGGGGGGTGGTGGGGGATTTTGGAAAGGATTTTGGATGGCGGAGGGAGGTGTGGGAAAGGATTTTGGATGACGGAGGGAGCCTGTGCAGGAGAGGGTTGCGGGTGGGGCGGGGAGCCTGTAATGTGAGAATTTCCCTCTCACTCTTGGCGAGGAGTTAATGGACAGGAGATGTGATCTGGGCCTCCCCAGGGCCCCATTTTATTTACTTCTAATGCAGGAG